ACTCGAATGTGGCAGCGCTCAGAAGCCTGAGGACACTTAGCGAGCTGGGTGCTGGACTGGACGAAAGGAAGGCCTACAGGCAGATCGCAGTGAGGCCTGACCGTAGGCTTAAGTTCTCAGTGATTTGTTTGAAAGGATCCGGTTTCGGCAAAGCCAGCCTTTTTCATAATGATCGGTCACTCGTCGTTCGGGTTGGTGTCGGCAGTATATAACTACAATCGCCGTTCGGCTGCTATCAACGAATTGTTGGTCAAGCTCTTTGGGCTCATTGCGTTCAGTTTTACGACGACAAGTACGGGTTTGAGCCTGTCGAAACGATCGTGGGGGTGACGTGTAATTTGGATCTGATGCAACTAGAGATCAAGTCCGATCGTAAAGAGGATTTAAGTTCGGCAATCAGTTCCATTTTAAGTTCAGAGCTCTTGGACCCAGGCACAGGTAAGCTGATGTTTGGGGCGTCCCAACTGTGCAGGAAAGGCGGTCGTGCGTACCTGAGGAACAATGGTTGAAGCTCATTTCCAACATGGCCCTCCTCGGACTATCAATCGACAGGTGCAAAAGAGGGCTGACGTGGTCATCTTCACAGATGGCTTCACTTCGATCGTCGTTTGGATCACCCACGACAGTTTACAGCTGTCGTCCAGAAAGCGGCGAGCCGTCGGTGGATCCCAAGAACGATCCAAATCATCCTGATCGAGTTGTTGGCGCTTGTTCTGGCCCTGAAGACTTTTGAGGATCGTTAAACGGATCTGATGTGATCATCCTCATAGACTCCGAGGCAGTAGAAGTAGAGGCTGCCCTCGTGAAAGATTACTCGAGTAAAGAGGATGTGTGTTGACTAATTTCAATGTTTTGGGATCTGGCCCTTGCTTTGAACGCTCGTATATTTATAGATCGGGTCTCTACAGACGCAAGCCCGGCGGACTGGCCCTCCAGAAACGATTTGGAGAGAGGTCATAAAGCAGGTGGGTCACTGTAGAGCCGCCCAAGTGGCCAGACGCTCTGAAGTAAATGTTTTGGGGCCTGCGGAGCTGAAAGTCTGAGCCTCTGTTCGGCGATAGCTCTCCCTGCAGTATTTGCTCGATCCTGGCGTTTTGTTTTATTCTGCTTCAACCTGTTCAGGGTTGCGCTGATCTTGAAATTCTTAACATTTTTCTACAGAAAATCGACAGCTTGCCCGACTCGACCCCATGCCTGGAGCCGACAAAGTGCGCGAGGCATTTGTGTGAAGGATGCTGAAAGTGAATGACTTTTCAGGCACGGCGTTGCTAGCTGTGAGTATGCTACTACTACTACTACCACTACTACTGCTACTGCTACTGCTACTGCTATTACTACTACTCCTGCTACTACTACTACTACCACTACAACTGCCACTACTACTACTGCTACTACCACTACTACTACTACTACTAATACTACTACTAATACTACTACCACTACTACTACTACTACTACTACTCTAACTCTACTACTACTACTACCACCACCACCACAGCAACAACAACCACTACTACCACTACTGCTGCTGCTGCTGCTACTACTACTACTACTACTGCTATACTCCTACTGCTACTGCTACTGCTGCTGCTACTGCTGCTGCTACAGCCACTATTACTATTACTACTACTACTACTACTGCTACTACTACTACTACTACTACTACGACTACCACTACTACCACCACTACTACTACTACTACTACGACGACGACCACGACCACGACCACGACCACGACCACGACCCCGACCCCGACCCCGACCCCGACCACGACCACGACCCCGACCCCGACCGCGACCACGACCACGACCACGACCACGACCACCGCCGCGACGACGACGACAATGACAACAACAACAACAACCACGGCTACTACTACTACTACTGCTGCTACTACTACTACTACTACGACGACGACGACTACGACTACGACTACGACTACCACTACTATACTGCTGCTGCCACTGCTACTACTACTACTACTACTTCTCCTACTACTCCGACTCCGATTCCCACTTCCACCGCCTATATTATCTAGGTTTGCTAGGCTGGCCGAACGACCGCATGGTTGGCCACTCGCCCAGTCAACTAACTATATAGACACTAGCAGCTATCGTAGCAACGATGTACATCGCCCGCCGGCCGGCCGATCGCGTTCTAGCCAGCTGGCCAGCCGGCGGAGAAACAGCAGGCCAGGTTGCCCGCTGTCTCTTTTTTGAATTCAATTCAATTTTGAAGTCAAAAGTTTGAATAATTGTATAACACTGAAAATAGAAGTTCAATTAAATCAAGATTTGAAGTTCATTGGAGATATATTGATTTTTTATTTCAATGACAGTTTGACTATATTTCAATGACAGCTTTATTGTATTTGAATTCAAATTTAAACCAACGCCTAATGACATTATACAGGTTGTGCAAAAGCCCAAAGGACCAAAGCGCAAACAAAACCAAAAAGCAACTAGACGACGAGTGGCCCGAAAGCATTTTTCATCACGTAGGAAGTCAGAGTGTGAGTTATCTGTTAAGTGTTCAGTGTGAAGTGTTAAGTCGAGTGAGTTGAGGCAGTGTGTGGGTCTCTGTGTGTGTGTGTATCTATGTCTGTGTGTGTATGAGTCTCTGTCTGTGTGTGTCTCCGAGTAAGTTGAGGCAGTGCGTGGGTCTCTGTGTGTGTGTCAACCTCTCAAGAGAGCCGGGTGGTCGGGAGACATGACTCAGCTGCAGGGGCGCCAGAGCAGCTGCGAGAGATGACTCAGCCGCGAGAGATGTCTCATCCGCGTACTAAAGTTGTACTGCAAAGTCGCCAGTTCTCAGCTTCCAGCTCCACAGATTGCTCCGCGTACTAAAGTTGTACTA